AGTTACTGGAGTCCCATAATACGGGAGGCAATCCAGAGCAATTCTTATTTTTGCATTCAGTTATGCTTTTTACAGATTCATTCCTCACGGGCGAAAATGTTAGTAAACTCAACAAGGCTCTTATATGCGTATGACATAAAGTGGGCACAATAAATGCTTTTTATCATTTGTTTTGCGAACAACGTAATCATGATAAAAACAAGTTAAATGTGAAACAAAGGAGTTGTTATACATATTTTAACATGTAATAAATAATGAGCAATCTTTAATAATAATTGTAACAATTTTTCCTTAGAAAAATGTACGCCCCTGAGCGTAAGACAGTGAAGGCTAAACATACAAAGAATTATTATCATGAAACATCTATAACCATCACAATCATAAGATTACATAGAACAATTGACAAGTACTTAGGGAATAATTACCTGCTAATTAATACGGGTTAAACAATTTTCATTTTTCACTAGTTTGTCACACTGCTATTTAGGCTTCTTTCCAGAATTCCCCCCCTAAGCGTTTGTCTTTGCGCTTCCTTCTACAACGGTCAATATTACGTTTTCATTATTGTGCAACACCCACGTAACAGGTGACGTCGAAGTTGATAAGATAAGTACGGTTTTGCACACATCCTTACAGAATGTAGCCCAAGAACAACAAGGGCAGGTCAAAGATTCCTAGCTAACCATCGTACGTTAAATACCAGAACGGACCATGAAATCCGTAAGACCAATTATTATTCTTAGAGGTAAGTGAAAACTGTTTCTATATTGAGAGTTATATTATATAACTACGGAAAGAGTTACTGATAGTGATGTCATATTTGCTCGGATTGCTCGCTTCATTCCATTGGGTTTATATTCAAATGGATCCACCAGACTCTGTATTACCGTAATCCTAAGAAAGCGCTCTATTTGAATATGTAAAAATGTGCAGGGAGAACGAACGGAATTCTCCGTGAAAAATTAATGTATAAAATTACTTTTTCTAGATGTTTAAAGGAAGTGCTTCGTATTTTCAAACGATTCCATGCATTCCATTCAGTACATCTGACAGTATTGCTGGAAGTGCCCTTATCCCCAATAATTATGTTTCACATGAAGCATTTATGGACACTTAAATTAAAAGCCTTCGCCGACGCAATTATTTATGGATTATTTAGGATCTGAGACAAATTTTCTAGATGATACTAGAACAATAGTCTTGTCGCCTTAGTTAGTATGTTGTACAAGAGTTTCGTACAACCCCAGCGGCAGTAAATATTTTATTATGAATTTGTAGTTGTCTAGTAACCTTATGTAGGTTTAAATGAGGAGTTCACCGGTTAAGTTTTATTATAAGAAGTGTTTATTATAGGAACAGAGATTAGATAGCAAAGGAAGTAAAGAATGATTATTTGATGCGTTTAAATTGTCACATTGGAGATCAGAACAAGTATTGGTTTCATCACGCATACTGTGTCTGTTGCAACATAAATCTTGTTCAGAAGGTGAAAGACAGGAACAGTTGTGTGACATTTAGGCCCAAATTCATAGATCTCACTAAAGTTCCACTCACACTTATCTCATACTCAACTCACCCTAGTCGTATTCATAAACAATTCTACTTCAATGAGTCACTTAAATCATACTCAAATTGTCCTCACAAATGAGTACTGGGTGAGTGACATATTAGTGATGTTTGACATTTGCTTAAATGTCCCTAATTTATTAATTTTGTGGTTTCATAATAGTATAGCAGTATATTTTACAAACAATTAAGTCAAGGTATTCAATAAAGGATATTCTATACGTGAACGATATATAAATTATAATTATTTTTTAAAAATTAGTTCTGTTACATACATACATATCCTGTAAGATGGAAGACGATTTTTGGGAATTTTTCAATTATGTTGAAGATGTTGATGGTTTTTTACCTGTACCTAGGTAAGTAACTAAAAGTGTTTACCTATTGTAATTAGCAGTAATACTAATATTTCCATTTTATTTTCAGAATTTTATTGAGAGATAATTCTAATCCTTTTGAAAGGTACACTAACAGTGAATTGATACAACGTATTAGATTCTCAAGAGATACTATAGAAACTACAGTACTTCCAATGGTTTATCATAACATTAGAGATGGTGATAATCGTGGACTACCAGTTCCCCCTGCATTAAAGTTGTATGTGGCATTGCGGTTTTTTGCAACAGGGTCTTATCAGGTATTGATGACTTTTATTATTATTCATATCTTGATTTAAATGTAATTTAATTTCTTTTCAGCAAGTTTATGCTGATGTAGCCACAATCAGTCAGTCCTCGGTCTGCAGAATTGTCCGAGAAATTAGCGAGGAACTTGCA